AAAAGTGTCAGTAGTAGACCGTGTACAGGGATGAAGGAGGAACTTCAAGGAAGTTTTCAACCCTCGACAATTGCATTTAAAACCCAAAAAAAGGAGAAAAAAAAACAACCTAGCGGACTAATGTCGGTGTATTTTATTAGGAATATTAAAAAAATTTATTAAGTAAAAAAGAGGAGGTTTTGAAGAACACAATAAAGGGGATAGAAACTTACCGTTGAAAGGAGTTGTAGGAGTTCTCGTAGACCACAGATCCAGAGCCTCCAGCAGACTGAGCGGCATTGTTTTGAGCCTGTGCTTGGGCTGCCACATGTGCCTGTAGGAGGGCCGCAGATGAGATCAATTCGAGGTCTTGAAGGGGTTGATGATGTGGAAGTGTCATTTGAGGTTGATTGAGGGAGGGTGTACGAACTGCTCGACCTACTGTAGCAAATCCCTATAAAAAAAAAATTGAAAGACATCATCCATTCATGCGTCAATGCATTCAATCCGCCTTGTAGTCAAATCCAACATCCTTTGCCATTGCACCTCACCTCCCTCCAATTCGCTCCACCTTCACACCATTGTGGTTAAAGGTAAGTTTTTGCCTCTTTTTTTTTTTGCCTCAATTAACCAAATTGACCTGGTAAATTAGAGGAAAATGTCAAACACTCGTTTACCCTTTACTCCTCGGCCATTTGACAAGTATGCACTAATCACTACACGTGTGACATTTCAAAACCAACAACGCTGCAAAGATTTGGCAATACTTCAAACAAAAATGAAGACTGCTTTACTCTCGTTTCCCTACGATCAAACCACCAACTACAATTACAATTGATAAAAGAGGGTAGAGGAGAAGCGAGAGAGTTGGTTGAAAGCCGTAGCGTGTGAAAGAGAGCGTAGTTGGTGTGAAAAAGAAAAAAAAGAAAAAATGCAAATCATCAAGCATTCATACGAGAGTTTGGAACTAATTAGTACCTTTTTATGAGAGAAAGGATGGAAACAACAAAACAGCTCTACTTAACAATGACAACGAATGACAGTAGACACGACAGTAGCCATTAAAGGACCAGAAGGAGAGAGAGAGAGGTGAGTTTCACAGGGAGAGTGAAAAGTTAGTGCAGCTAGACTGAGGAGTTGTGGATGGAAGTTCTCCACGCCAGACACCTCAGTGAGTGCTGCACTACTGCCGTCT